TTATTTATATATCATTTTGAAAATAAAAATGTGGGAGCTGTTTACAGAATAAACAACATACAAAACATCAAATATGTTAGAAACATGACATAAAAGCAAAATCAAGTAGAAATAAAAAAGAAAATGTGAAATGCCGAAAAAATAAAATGATTTTTTTGTGCTAAAGTTCAACATGCAAACAAATAAATACTAAATACAACTATACATAAACTAATAGTCCATAAAAGCCTATATTTATGATAGTGACTCAGTTATCCAAGTTTGGTTACTTAATTTACATATTAACACATATACATGTTCAGAGTTACAACAAAACATGCAGAGGATCTTGTACACATTATAGTTACCACAAACCTTGGGTCTTTCAACATGACAAACATACAAAAAATATTCAATATGGTAAAGGTCTGCAACATTGATTTGTAGATTATTTATGTTGGATCCATCAGCAACACAATGAAGGGCTCCAGTAATGGGTCAGTCATGCTTGGATGCGGCATCTTCACCTCTATGAAACGTAGTTATAAAAGCAGGTTGGTGAAGCGATATTTGGGTTCCATCTCCTGCACTGAGAACAAACAGGCATTCATTGATTGATTGATTACTTACTTACATGCCGAGAGTAAAAAATAAAATGATTAAAAAAACGTACCTGAGCAGAAATTGGCCTTAATTTTGACTGAGTATGATGAAGTTTGTGTGTTTTAATCTGAAAATCCCATTAAATGCTTAATTAAGCACGAACATTTACTTTCTTTACAAAGATTAGGATTTGTACACAAATCTTTCAGACCAGACGTCTGAGGCCTGAACCTGTGGAACGCACGGCCTTCCACACCTTAGAAGTTTCTCATGGCGCATTTCTATTTTCTGCGTTCAGTGGCGATTCTCAAAGAAAAAGTAGAAACTCGCTCCAAGAACTGAACCCTTGTCCTTCATACTTCAGCTGTAGACCACTTAATAAAAATGTCGATAAACACATATAATTCTCTCTCTGTAAACAGATATTTGTACAATGTGTCTCCATGGACTGGAAAGAAGCCAATTGTTTCTGTGAAGCAAGCTTAAGTAAGTTCTGAATCAGTTCCTTGAGTATAAGTAGACACTTAATTTTTAGTCTTCAAAGTTAAAATGAACCAAGTTCTGAGTGACAAATGACAATTCCTACTTCAGTCTTGGTACATCAACAAAAAGATTTCAGATGCTACAGAAATATGTTGCTGCAATTTGTGGCATCTTAAAAATTTGACTAAACCAGATCACAAAATTAAAAACTATGTAAGTAGGAATGAAACGGGAAAAAAAAGTTGCATTTAGTTAGAATGAAATGAAAAGAGACCTACAAGATGGAGTCCAGAGAATGAGCCTTGATGAATTAATATATTTGTAATGTCAGAACATGACAAGTATTACAAAATCTGAGTAAGAGATGTGATCGAGATGTTTTGGGACTTTCCAAAAATATAACCGATTAAAAGTTAGGCCTTATACTTTCGCAAACTATAAAGATGCAGCACTAAATGGTAAAGTATGGACATAAATAGTTTTGAACACTAGATGGCAGAAAAACTTAATTCCTGTTGACTGTCTTGAAAAAAGACAGGTTTAGAAAATGACATCAGTTAGAGGCTCTGATGTCCAAATTTCCCGTATTAAGTCCTCTCCCATCTCCCGATTCCCAATGGTGGTGGGTGACGGGATTTATTAGAAAATTAAGGCTTTCACAGGGTCACCAAGGGTGCTAAAACTTCAGAATGTGGGGCATAAGGGTAAAGAGGGATGGCCCTGTCAGCTGACATCTCGTTGTCCTTACTCGCTGTATATCAATCAATATATTTGTAATTCTGTTGCAGAGAATTGACACTAATGTTTATTTCTACTTCCACTGAAAACAGCCGGTTCCCACCCGTGGTACTTGTTGTCAGTTTGAGAACAAGTAGGTTCCTGCACAGATTAGGCAAAATCCCCTTGGATCAAAGTTTCAGGGTCCTGAATCCTGCTGGAAGCGTTGATGGATGTGAATTGCAACAAAAGGTGGGCGAGCGCTTTGGTTTCAAACAACAGGAGAATTTGAACCTCATCTCTAAATATTTTTGGTGACCTAAGCCATATTACTCCATTAACATGTGTTTACCACAATCAATCCAAGACTGTTCCAACACTGGATGTGAGGAAAACAACAAAGCCAAACTACTGGATGACTATTTGTTCTCTCCGGAGAACAAATAATTGGGCGTTGCTTTGGATGTAGGCTGGGCGAGAACACGGTGTTAGGATCTCCTCAGCATCGCCGAAGGCTGCGATTGGGACCGGGTCCAAGCAGCTGGTTGGTGCTTTTCATGTCCCAGCTGTTAAACTGGGAGTTTTCCTTCAACCTAGTTACATGCTGGCATCACGGCTGTAATTGAGGGTCTTGTTCATTTAAAACTTAAGCCATCATTAAACTCAATCCACAAAGCATTTAATTACTGACTTTCCTGGCAGACTGTCGCAACACTCCACAGGCATCTCACAACATCACGACGTAAAACAAGATACGAGGCACGATTGGTGGCCTCGTATCTTGACCGATGTTGAAAAGGCAGCCTCTAAAAGACGTTACTGTGCTACTAATCCCAGTCGAAGCGAAAGACAAAGCCAGAGCAGCTCTCAGAAGCTCTAACTCAATAGATATGATGGAGGTGAAGGATGCTTTCACACATTCCTGTTTAGTACCCTTCAATGAAATTCTGGTTGATTTGAGGAGGAGAGAATGTGTCATCAAACTCTGCTGCAGACCAGAAAAGCAAACCGGCGCCGTCCGAAATGCATACGTGAACGCCAAGCAGACCAGAGGCCGCCACAAAAGCTGGAAGTGAACTACAGCGCAGGGCATTCTGGGTAAAAACAACCAAATCAAACAAGCCAGTCTAGCGCTAACAGGACAAATGGCTCATAGCCTTTTACTTAAATCTGATGCCACTGCATTTTCGCTTACATTTTGTGAAGAAGGAAGTTGTGCACATGTCTCATTCAGAGGTTTTCAGGTCGTTTCCTTCTGTAGTTCTTGATGCAGGTGAGGAGCAGAACAAGTTTTTCAAAGGGTTCAATCAAGCCGATTGCACCAGACTAACAAGTGTGAAAACGACCTTGGATTTTCGGTTATCCTCAAAGCGTGGTGCTAAGTAAAGTTTATTCTACCAGAAGGTGTTTCTACAGCTTTAAACATATGTATTTATCAGTGTGTAACCACCTGTCTTACCCTCAGGCTGTGAGCAAGCAAACGCCAAAGCAAGAGAACATTAAAAGGAGCTCAGTGGAACCTGTCCAGCCCACATCAGCTCAATAAAAGAGGAGACTCCGCTACTGCTCTGAACTGTGACAGGCCCCTGAAAGGAGGGTTAGCCACATTTGTTGAGCACAAAGATCCTGCCGTTTGGTGCAAAGGCTGCTCTATCTGCGCCTGAGGACAGGATGTTAGGAGAAACCGGCAGAGTTTTATAAACAGAGACGATGCTGAGCAAGGACAGCCGTGGGTGGTAGAAAAAACGTTTAACAAATGAACCCCTCTGAAAATTTTACTCCAATTAATTTTTCAACGAGAAAGAGGTTGAATTTGGGGCTAATTTTTTTTCTAATCAGACAAAACCTGAGTCTGGATCATCCAGAGATACATTTTCCAGAAGTCTCGAGAAGAAATATTCATCTGTTTAAACGTTTAGGTACAACTTGAGATGCTTTATAATAGTTCAAATAAAATATTTCTTAATATGCATCAGTCTCCAGTTCTCGGTGTCTTCACTCCTCGTGTTACAGCCAATCAGCACCAGGGAAGATGCATGGAGCCCTAGAACTGGCTGATTTGCAAACATCAAATAGAATCACATTAAGCTATTCCAGCTTCCCACCCTGAAATTATTTCAGTAACTCTCACGGACCTAAAACAGAAATCCATGACTGTGGAGGAGAAAAAAAATGGCTTTGTGTCTCTTTACATAGTTTATGTAAATATTTGGTTTCTATTGTGATTGGTTTTAAATCATCAAGTGAAGTTATAAATCTTTCGGCTTTTCCTGAATATGACAAACCCCGGTCTGAGTTCACATGATGAAATGAGGAAAGCAATGAGTGGAATGTGGAACTGCTGAGCAGATTTCAACACATAAAGCCAGCGCGCTGCAAGCAGGCACTTGCCACCGTGTGCGTGCGCGAAGGCGTGCGTGTGGCCTGTGTGCGTCTTTAATCCTTTGTAGAGGCTGGCTTTGACTGGCCCAGAAATCGGATGTTTTCTCATTCGATCTTTTCCCAGACGCACCTCTTCCTCCTCCTCCTTTTTTCTATTCTCTCTTCTTATTTCGCCCATTTATCGCTCCGTCTGGCCCCCATCATTTATTTTGCATTTGTCTGTAACTACGTTGCCTTGGGAGGATTCCTTTATTTATTTTTTTTCTACAACAATTTAGACAAAAAGACGAAAGCTTCGGCTCCTACCCTCCCTCTCCTCCTCTTTCCCTGTAATATTCAGACACAATTGCTCGCAGCCTTGGGGCGGAATAGTTAAGAAGGTATGTGAAGTAAGTCTTTTTTCGGACTTTGAATGAACCGAAAGAAGAAAGAACGACGTGAGAGGGGGAAGGGTGGAGGACAAAGATGGAGCTAGATGAAGTGTGAGAGGGAGAAAAGCCTCAGAGCTGCAGGTGTGGGAGCAAGTTGAGTTAAAGTGACTGTGCTTCTGCAGCTGGGAGAATAAGATGCATGTAAAAAATAAAGCAACTCACACACTCTGTGATAGTGTTTCGAAATAGCAATTTTGGAGGCTGACAAACCGCTTGTCTGGTAAATTTAAATCTGATTTCTGCTGCCTCTGCATAACCTGCAATTTCAGAGGAAATAAAAAAGAAAGGGGCAGTATAATCAGCTGAAGCGCACAGATCTCATGCCTCTCTGATCCCTCATCCCGCCCACCGCGCACAAGTCTCCCATTCTTGTATTTTTTTTCCTCATTCACTCCAGCGAGACGCCTGAGAGGAGGACGCGTTCACTTTGTTTGCCAACACCGAAAGCTGGACTTCTTTGGGGGGGGAAAAAAAATCTCAATCTAGGAACGAGATTTGAATTGAGTTTATTCTGTTTTATCCTCCTCCTCTTTGCATTTTCTAAGAATTAAACGGAAAAGTTGTGACAGCTTTACAAAGAAGACAGAGAGAGAGAGAGAGAGAGAGAGAGAGAGAGAGAGAGAGAGAGAGAGAGAGAGAGATTTGCCCTGAAGGCTTTGAAAGAAGAAACAGGAGCCAGATAAAAAAAAAAGGGCAGCGATAATCTGCACAGCTGCTGCGTGGAGGGAAGGAGACGCAGACAGATAAAGAAAGCAAGCGAGGTGAACAAGTGCGAAGGACGAGGAGAGGAGACAGACGAGGACGAGCGTTCGCGTTGAAGGCCGCGGCAGATATAAATACAAAGTGAAGACAAAACCCAGAGGGACACCTGTCGTCAAATTAGCAGCAATGGAGACGCGGCGGGAAGAGACGAGAAAGCTGGACTGAGGAGGGACGTTAAAACACGCCGGGCTCGAGCGAAGCGAGACGAGAGGGTTTCTTCATCATGATTTCTTCAGGTGGCGTCCCAAAATCCAACGACCTGCACGGGAGGAGCAACTTCGTCCCAGGATAGAATGAGAAGAGGAGCTTGATCAGTCAGAACAGTCCTGCTTTCACATTAACTTCTCCAACTCCCCCCACCCCCTGATCTCCATCCCCTCACTATGTGGATACCAGCTGTGCTCCTATGGATGCTTTACTTCAGCTGTCTGTGCTCAGGTCAAGACTACAGGGACTATTACCAAACCGGAGACACGGGCACCGAGGTAAGACTCACTTCAGTTCATCCCAGACCTGAACTGTACAACTTAAAGAAGGGGGGAAAAAAGCACAAATTTTGACTTGCTGCACTATGACGTTCACCGAAAGTCGAACAGAAATGATGAAGTACGTTTCGTAAGAGCGGTGCTATGTGAGGCAGATAAGCTGTATTTACATTGGAAATATCCCTGGGTTGAGGATCACCAGAGAAACGCATTCCGATACAGACGCGACTCACTGGGGAGAAATGCAGATGGGAATGGACAGGAAGACCAGAGAGATTCCCTAGAAGAAGACCGGCTGGTGCTTCAAGCATTAAAATATATGACAAAGGATTAGGAAAATAAAAAATGGAATTAATTCTCACAACAAAGTCATGGTGTTAGGAGAATGAAATCAAAAATAATGCTAAAATAAAGACAATATGAAAAATTATGGTATTATAAGAATTAAGTCATTATCACGATGTTATTTAAATTTTATTCTTGTAACGTTGACTTTATTCTCAAAGTATTAAAACTTAATTCTCATATCACATTCTTATTCTTGTATTATTTCAACTTAATTCTCATGATATTTACCTTATTCTCAAAATATTGGCTTTAGACTCACAATATGTTGACTTTATTCTTGTAATATTGAATATTCTCAAAATACTACGACTTTATTCTCATGCTATCCCAACCTTATTCTCGTAATACAACTTTATTCTTTCATTTCATCGCTTGATTCTCATACTATTACGACTTATTCACAGAACTTTATTTTTTTCCTAGTTTGGACTTAATACTCAGTTGTAAAAATAAAACTGGTACGAAGTCTTCAGTCTCCACTGATCCACATGTGACAGGAAGTTTGACAAACAGCAGAAATTCAGTAACATTGTCTCACCAGCTGCCAATGGGATCAGCCTGGAACCATTGGACTTGAGGTGAGTCCAACATCAGGAGAAGAGCAGTGATGTAACTGCTAAGCCTATTAGGGAAAACACTAAATCGCTTATAATTTGCTCCAGAAGGTATGAGCAAAAGCTTCAAAGGCCAGACTGAGGTATAAAAACGGGATCAAAGTGAAACAGATGAGCACTAACGACAGCACGGTCGTAAAAGAAGAACAAATATAAAAACTAATAAGAACAGGCCTAAAAATACGCTGAAATTAACAGAGAACACAACAGAAGATGCAAATGACAGGTAACAAAGGACGTGATATTAAAAGGTTGTCACAACATAAATAAAGAAAACAAACTAGTCAAGCAAGAAACTGAAAACCAACAAAATGTTGATATCTATTATGATTTGACTCACAGTTTCCCTCATCATATTCTGTTAGCTTTAGCATCTGAGCTACTAGAAATATGCAAATATCGGACATCAAGGGCAGCTAGAAACCGTCCAACTGACCAAATACATTATTGCCAGGCAGAACCTGAATGACTGGCACTCGAAATATAATATCCAACCATATTGCTTCCCAGTACAATTATATATGAACCTTTAATTTACAAAACTTGAATATTGTTGAGAGAATTAAACTATTCGAAATCTAAAACCGTTAAGCATTATTTAAGTTTGAACAAAGCATTGTTTGAATTGAGCAAACAAAGATGTATTTCAACGAGATTCTTCAAAAATCCTCCAGATTTCTGGGCTCATGTTTCTGTGTGTGCATTCTTTACGTAATAAGTATAATACATTTTACATGAAAAGACAGTACTTTTTAAAACTGGAGCTCCGATCTAATTTGAACATTTTCTAATATTTCAAACAATCTACTTTAAAAAAATAGAGAGACATTTCAGGTGTCATTGCGTAAATATTGGCATTGCAATATTTATCCACTGGAATTACAAGGACGGAAAAGAAAAATTAATCAATCGACTTAAAAGATACAGAAGTAGCCTGAGTATTCAGTTCAAGCTTTCATCCCAAAAACTATGAACATCTAGAAAAAGAATAATTCAGGACCAATGTCACAGAGCTGCTCCAACAAGCTGCCACCATTAGAGGCACGGTTCTAGAAGATAACTATATTATAAAGAAGAACAATCCTTATTGTTATAGTCTGCAAGGATAAGTTGTACAAGCTCACTTCCTCTTTCCTCCATCCTGCTGGCTCTGATCCAGACACTGATGTTCAAAAAAATATTTGAAAGCAACGGCACCTAGAGGAAGAAGCAACGAGGCATTCCCTCTGTCGTTTTCTGTTGCGAAAAAAATGTGTTTCTGCTCTGAATGATAAATCAAAGACATCTTCATCGCTTCTCCTTGCTTGGACGTGTCTCAGGTGGAGAGGAATAAAGGCCGATAAATGAAGGTTTTCATAGATGGCTTTTGTCAACAAATGTAGTGGCCTCAAACCCGCAATAATAAAATATTTTTAATAACACTTCAACTCCTTAAACTCAAAATCTATTTATGTTCAACACTTTTTACTTTGAAAGATCTTCACATAAAAAAAAAGACTGCAATTCCCATGTTGCTGCTTAACGTTCACCTCAAATTAAATGACAAACAATCCAGTTCTTGTCACTGCTGAACATAATTAATGATCCTCAAGCGTCAGCCTTACATCAGCTGTGGTGGTGTTCACAAAACCGACGGGATGCAGCTTGGTTTTTAGGTTCATGCTGTTATTATGTGCATCCTTATCTGGAAGCTCGTGTTTACAAAGCAGGAAAATAAGCTCCTGGGGAACATAAAGTGGAGCTAAAGTGGAAATTTACAGATAAGGGCATCGGCTTACTACTCAGAACTTGCTCCAGTTCTAAGTAAAACTGAGTCCGTGCACGTAGGAGGGGGATCTGAACCCAGCAGCTTCTTCTTCATGACATTTCCTGCACAAGTTTTCAAGATAACGCTCTGGTTCAAGCCTCGTATGTAAATCTAAACACATGTTATTTCTAATAGAAAACAGGCTGAGCCATAAATGTATGGGTGTGTGTGTAAATATTTGTGCCTCGGTGCCAGCAGTGCGTAATTCTGGACACACCCCAGAGCGCTGCGTGGATCGCGGCTGGTGCATCGTCAGAACAGAGTCCCACAGCCATGACCTCATGTCATCCGATCGCTTAACAACGCAACGGAGCTTTATGTGATATAGTTAGTCCACTGTAAAACGGTTTAATATCAGCTCATTTCATGCATCGTTCAGCTTTTGTCTGAAACTGCGTCCGCATCTTCAAGATTCGATGTGAAAACGAGGCAGGAAACAAGAAAAACACATCTGAAAATGGGCAAAGAAAGAAACATAACAGAAGTCAATAATCATAGAGTGGTGGGGCAGCCATTTGTACGCATACGAACAATCTGACCCTTAAAATGTCATCAAATAATAAGAATTATGTTAAATATTTCAGTCGCAATATGCAGAAAATGATTTTTAAAAAAGCGGGACTGAATTTCCTAAAAACACAAAGACGATAATCTTTTTAACAACAAGACGAGTCGATAAACTCAGTCATGAAGTCAGAAGCTCTGGTCTTCACTCCCTTACTGGCTAACAGCAAAGACACATTTTGACTGTATGGAAGACAGGATCTCATTGTAAAAATAAAAACCATAGACTTTGTACTTTTGTAAATATACAAAGTCAAACAAAAAGTCTAATTGCAGCTAAAGTACAGCCCGAGTTAAAACTCAGAGTTCCAGCCTTAAACTTGTGATCATTTCACTGAAACTGGATGATAATCGCTTTACTTCTCCTTCTTTTGAAGCCGTCAACCTTCAGAAATAATGAACAAATGCAGCCTGCGGAGTTTGCGCCGAGTATAAACCACACAACTGCAGCAGAGGCGCCTCACTTCTTAAAAATCACACAAATCTTCAGGGTCTCTGAACGGTTTAAAACCCTGAAATATGACTTTCACTTAAAGGTCAGGTCACATTATCCCTTATGGTTAATGTGATCCGATGTGACTCATCCGCTGATCATGATGCTGTCAGGGATGGCACGCTCTGCTGCACTTCTCAACATTTAGATTTTCAAAGTCACATGGATTTTACACATGAAATGCAAAACTACGAGAGAAAGACAGCAAATAAATAAGTTGGAAGTATCTTGCAAGAGAAGATTTGGGAGTGGGAGAAAAATAAGGGTCCGGTTTCTGTTGAGATAGTGCCAGCGGTGCCGGTCGACCTCTTCTCAGCCTGTGAACCTCAGCGACCTCTGATATGCCCACAAGGTCAAAATGATTTGGTGTGAAGCAACCAGAGCACTCACCCTGACATTTCCAAACCCGCAGCTTCGATTTCCCAGTCCGTTAAACAATTATTCCGCTATCATTCATCTACTGTTGCTCTATGGAGAGTCATCAGTCGCCACGGCAGAAAAATCTTTGAGTGACTCAGAGTAGGAAGGTTTTACAAGATAACGTCAACCGTAAAACGTGATTTCCTGTGTGAAATCTGTTGAAATTAACACTTTAAAGTGTGGCAATAATCTCCAGTATATGTGAGAATCTTTTTAAATGGGGAGGAAAACAGCATTCACTCAACGTAATCCTGCCTCTGTTTACAGAGGAGTTTTACAGATTCAGGGTTTTTTTTTTTTCAACCTGAATATTGAGATAAGAACCTGAATGTGAGCTAAATCTGCAGCAGCAACAGAGCTCAGGTGAGGGAAGGACAAGCGTCTTCCTAATTACCAACAGTAGCCGACAGCGACATGTTGCAACACATTGGTAGCTGAGGTATTCATTGTTTATCCTGCACAGCCAGTGAGCCTGAATAGATAAGCTTACCCACATCTAAAAAATTTACTATTACAAACAATTGGATTGTTTTTGATTTGAAACCATAAATATGAGTTTTTCTTTAAGATTTTATACACTGGATTGCAAAAGTATTCAATCCCCTTTGAACTTGTTTCTATTTTATCCCTGGCGGGATAAAATAGAGGCTTCGTTCACACAGCTTACCGCAGTCGGAACGACCCACTTCCATTCTCTGTTTGTTTTCAAAGCGTCTGCAGCATAAACTGTCATTTCATCTCGTTTTTGCGTCATTTATTTGAGAAATGCGTCACAATTCCGCACCAGAAGAAGCCAGACGCTGGAGGTAAACAATGACTGAAAATTGCAATTGTGAAAATGAATTTGTAGTGAATCACATCACAATCCCACCACTCATTGTTCAGACTCCTGTACAGAGGCTGCGGTCAATACTGCATAAAATACCATTGCTAACAGTGTCTCTGTTATTGTTTATTATCTCAAGAAGTGTTTTCCTGTGATTTCCCCCTCCAGGCTCCAACCCAGTCAGATGACCAGTCCAGTTTGGAGACAGTGACCAGCATGGACCAGCTGCTGCAGCTTTTCTACCCTGAATACAGCTTGATCCAGCAGTGCATGAGGAAAAGATCCTGGCACACCTCTTCCTCGTCTTCCTTCCCTTCCTCGTCTTTTTCAACCTCTTCGGCGAGCCCTTTGGTCCGCTCCGACAACGGCGACATGTGGGCTCCGATGCGGGAGGAACCCGTCTACAGAGTGGACGGGACGCTAGCCGGTAACCTGAATACAAATCTGGTTTTCTAACTCTTATCCAATCAAACACATGCAGTTATTGAATCCTGTTTTCAGTCATTCTGGAAGAGATCCAGCGTACGTCGTGCCAGCCGAGAGAGGTGTGCGTTGAGGTGGCCAAGGAGTACCCAGAATCCACCAGTCAGCTGTACCTCCCTCGCTGCGTGGCTCTGCATCGCTGCGGCGGCTGCTGCGGGAACGAGGCGTTTTACTGCACCAACACGAGCTACAGTCTCGTCAATAAAACCGTGAGTCAGATTTCTTGCTTTGATTTTGTTGCCAAACTCAAATGTTTTGTATCATCAGAAACTGGCTCTTAATCTGTTACATCACTGTGGAGGAATTTTGGCTCTCCACTGGAAGAATTGAAAGATTTTTCCAGTGGGAAAGGCCACTGCATCACTGTTGAAATTAGGGCTAGGCTTTGACTAGACCACTGACAACGGAAACATTTTTTTAAGGAATTTACAGGTGGAAATTTGAAAGCCAATTATATCAATCTAACAGACGTCATCCAAATTACTTTTCCCAAAAACGTACCTGCTGGCTCATTGGCACCAGATTCATTCATTGCGGGTCAAACGGGAGACTTTTCGTCTTGTAAAAATGGCAGATGAAGTGGTAGACAGAGCAGGCGAGGAGTACAGCTTAAATTAAACAAAATCAGATTTGTATAGCGCGTTTCTGAACAATAAAACAGAATGAAGTAGTCATTTCCATTAATTGTATTTTTTAAAGAACAATTTTGTCAAAATATTATTGAGTTGGTTTTAATTTATCATACGATTATTGATTGCACGATAAATAATACTAGACTAGACATCCTTTTAATGTCTACAGAGCAGAAGTGATGCTTTTTTAAAAAATTTAGCCTACTTCCTGCTGCCATACAAGATTTATTTAAGTGATTATTTTACTCTAAAAACCTTGCATAAATCAGGCCTGAATGTGGCAAGAGAAACTGAACCAAAACAAGAATTTAATCAAGGTGAAAAGATTGGCTTAGATGGTGTCTTTTATCATGTCTGATGTTACGTTTTTCAATCTGAAACATTTAAATGTCGCAAAAAAAACAAAAACTATAAAAGAACCAGACGGAATCTATCAAGAGGCAATTACTGTTTTGTGGCGCTGTAAATCTGCTTTCACACCTCAAATCCATCTGGACGCTGAAACCAATTTCCCCAATTATGTATCTGGCGGCTCAACACAGCCCACTCCGAAGGGAATAGGTTGTGACTGGACGCAGCGTTTGGAGTCACGCCCATCTGCACGGCATCTGCTCACAACAACAACAACAAAAAAACGCTTTTTCAAACTGGAGAGGCACCTGTCCCTGTGAGCGTCTAAACGTTTCGTCTTCCTGCCTTCCCACCAGCTGATGGAGCTGTCTCCACCCAGGATGGATCGCGCAGTAGCCATGGTGACATTCGTCAACCACACCTCGTGCGAATGCCTCTCCAAGCGGCCGCTTCATTCCATCATCAGGCGAGCGGCAACAGATCATCTGTGAGTAAGAGGCTCGCTGATGTCCGTCTCCACCTCTCTTGTCTTGTGCGTTACTAAAAGCGTGTGTGTGTGTGTGTGTGTGTGTGTGTGTGTGTGTGTGTGTGTGTGTGTGTGTGTGTGTTTGTGTTTGTGTGTGTGTGCAGGTGCTCCCCTCCCGAAGTCCCCTGCACCTCCGGGTCGTTATGGGATCCGGTGAACTGCGTGTGCGTCTCTGCAGACACCATCAGCTACACTCAGAAACAAACAGGTGGGAGCAGAGACCCTCTCATCCTCAGTCCTCCAGATTGACAGTCCTGCAGCTTTTAGATGCTCCAACACAGCTGAATTTCAACATGCCATCAAGCTAATAACCTTTCACTGAGTAATTCATCTGATTCAGGGTCGACCTCCAAATATATATCTTTATCAAAAACAAAGTCAACTCTTGCAAGCAGCTCCAGTTAAAGTCCACATCTTTGCTTTTGTGAAGTCAGAACAGAGAAAAGGAAAATAGGACATATAGTTTTTGGACACAATAAATTCTTGACTTCCATTTTTGCCAATAATTAGCGATCTCCGCTACCCCACACAGAATAAAAGACCTCCAATTGACGGCTGCATTTGATATTTTTAACTGTGAGATTACATGTTGCGTTTAAAGAGGCATTTATAACGGTATTCTACACAAATATTGCCTTTTAATGATAATAACCTTTATTTAACCAGGTTTGCCTCATTCGGATGGTAAGATTTCTTTTACAAGAGAGACCTGGCAAAGAACTGGCAGCATTTAGATGAGTCACAGATCTAGTCATGCACTTGGAGATCCAGCCCAGACTCTCCACACCCTAAAGAGACGATCACAGTGAAAGGAGGAGGAAGATGATGATAATGACGATGATGGTGGTGCCAGAGCAAATCCTCCCTGCCACAAAGTTGATACAATTGAAGCAGGAATGTTTTTTTGCGGCGCATCTCTTGTACAATCATGCCAGCACCTTTCATCTTCAGACCTTTTCCAACTCCAAAATTTCATACTTGACTTATTACATTAGCACAAGAACTATTTTTAATCCTGTAGGGCACGTATACAAATTACTCTGTCTGTAAACTGCGCCCAAACTCAAGTCTCCACGTGCAAATTTAGTGCAATAGACGTAATCAGAGGCGCGCAAGCTCTCTTTGGATTCGCCGTGGTTATGTGATGATACCTCAGAAACAATAATTAGCCCCGTGAGGCTTTCAGCCAAACATCATCAGCATGATCTGGTACGATGTTTATGATATTTAACAAACCATTCCAGCATCTTTACGTCAATTTAATTGGCCAGATCTCTTAAATACCGTGTTTCTCTGCTCCAGAGGCGCTGGACTCGGGTCTGCTGGCTCTCTGCGGGCCCAACAGAGTTCTGGAAGAATCCACCTGCGAGTGCGTCTGTCAGAACGGACTGACAGAAGCCAGCTGCTATCCAGGCTGGAAACTGGACCAGAATACCTGTAAGGACACATCAGACTAGTTTTACTGCTGGGGGTACTGGATTCAGGCAGGTGTCCAATGACAGGTTGATTTTAGTCACACTCACTGATCACTAAATGTGAGACCGCAAGCACCAGTTTGCTGGACCTCTGATGAATTAGGTCAGTCGCCTTAAATGGGGAGGGATATACAGCCGCTTATTTTATGTTTGAATTAAATTGTCAATATTTCATAGAAATATGTTTTCACTTAGAAAAAAAATTCTTTTTCACATTTTATTTAATCAAAAAAAACCTATAGTTTTGTAAAAACTATAAAGAGTAAAACATCCAAGAGAGAAAATACTTTTTAAAGGCATTCAATCTTTAAACTGAATTTCCGGTTTGTTACTTATGTAAACTTCCAGTTATTTTAGGTTTTATTGAGAGTGCTTACTGTAAATACCACAAGTTGATTCAGGATGAGATAGAAGAAAAAAAAAAGAAACGAGCTTTTATGCAAATTTTAAACAAGTACAAACACAAAACACGTTATCTGATGAAGTTTTGGTTGTGCAACTGCTGCTGTGAACTCCGTCCTCTTCCTACCATTGCGGTCAGGTGAGTGCCAGTGCGAAGGCCAAGGCGAGGGGAAGCTGTGTCCTGCCGGACAGCGGTGGGACGACGAGCTGTGCGGTTGTGTGTGCGCGGTGGAGTGTCCCAGAAATCAGCCTCTCAATCCCGACACATGTCTGTGTCAGTGCAGAGAGAGTCCCCAGACGTGTCTACGGCAGGGCAAGAGGTTCAACCCGAACACCTGCAGGTGAGAGAACCAGAACGAAAGGAGGCCGAGTTTATTTAAACCAAATGCTCCACTGGATCAGAAGAAAATCCTCAACAGAGCACCAAAAAGTCAATAAACGCCAAAAAACAACAACAAAAAGACCCCATAAAAACTCAACTTTCATGCTGATTTGGAGTTCGTTTGATATGGAGCGCATTCTTTTTAACTTTGTCCAACAATAAAAATTAAGATCTATCTTGAAACGAACATGACTGCATTTCAATTGAAGGTAGATCCCACTATTTTCAGCATTTGAATGAAAAGAGATGGCACATTTTTTCAAATTGACGTGAAGAGTGAAAAATTCTGATTGGAAACAAAATTGAACCCAAATCAAAGCCTTGAAGAACACCGGAAATAATTCAAGTTAAGAAACATGGCGGGATGCCATAAACATGACAAAACAACCTTAAGAATTGGCTTTTGGAAGCTCCTAAATCCCGACACGTGTCTGTGTCAGTACACATAAGACGTGCTGTGGATGGCGGTGACTCGCAGATTTGGTTGAAAACAGGCCAATAAAGAATTAAAATGATGAAGTCATCCATGAAATGGGATTTTTTCAGCTGTGAAACTGACAGCAGTCGGAATAATCAGTCCAACAGTAAACTCGTGAATCATCTCCAGCTGAAAACCAGAAAGCGTTGATGCATTCAGACCGGGCCTGGTCTGAATGCATCACCAATAGCACGATTCAAAACATTTACTCATCCTTTCTAATACTTTTCATGCAGTTTCTCCTGATCCCTCAAATTTTAAGGTCATCTCTTCTCCAAATTCAAATCCAGAAAAGAAAACCCACTGAAAGATTTTCGGTCACAACTGACTGATATGTTTTAAGATTCACCTTGACAAAAGCTTTATTTCCATCTGAAGAAAGAACCCCTTTCAAAGTGGGAATGGTGTTCTTTTGTGGTGTTGGGTTATTATTTTCAATATTTTTTATTCAATATTTCAGCTTGTATCTGGATACGTGACATTAAAGTAACTGTAATTGCTTTTCTACTTTTTCTAAAATTAAATAGGTCATGTAAAAGTTTTGTTTTCTTTACTTTGAGTGAAAAACTGCGATATTTCTACCTCACAACAACCAAACCTTTCATGCCAGCCTAACGGCTCCTCCTGAAGAACCTGAGGCAGAGGATCGCGATGCGTTACTGGATTCTGCAGAAACGTCTCCTGATGGACGCGTCACGCATTCCTCCGAAAGAGGGAAACGTCGGCTGTTTGTCTTTTTTAGTCGTTCACATGTTTCACTGCAACCTTTTATGGACATGGGGCGTCCGAAGCATTTGCTCGGGGCTTTTCGAGTGTGCCGTAGTTCCCACAGCTTGCGCGCACCGGATCAGCGTCCCTCTGACCCGAGAGGCCCTGCAGAAGGGAAGGGGAGCGTACTGAATGAAAGCGAGACAGACAGATGGAGTGACAGGCACTGTGAAAACACACCAGCAGACATGATTGATTCATACTGGTAGCTTTACATGTGGGAAATCCTACAGGATGCAAAAACATGTGGCCTTTCATAGCAGCTCACTAAACATTTTCAGCTTTAAAGGAACACAGACATGCTAACTGGAGCCGGACCCCAAAACCGAAAACACGTTAAAGCATCAAACATGGGTTTGTTTTTATGCTCTTCTGGAGATTTAGGAGCCTTTTCTCACGAGCTGTCTTGCTTGAGTTTCTGGGACGTCATCTCAAATGGATGGAAGGCCAAACTTTGGCTAGGCCACTATGGTCAAGTTGCAACGACAGCTTTATTTTGTTGCAACTGCAGCACAAGATAAAAATAAAATACAATGAAAAAATACTGAAATAAATATTTAACGTGGATGGCACAACTCCAAATTTGAGGTTTTATAAATTTAAATATAAGCACGTCTAGATAATTATTATAATAATTACTGGTCCGTTTATTATTCTTTTTTTTTGGTACTGCACAGACACAAAGAAGAATATATTTAAACACTTTTCAAGCCTGGAAAATTTTCCTAAAGCTCCATTTAACCAAGGAAGATATTCAACTTGACTTACAAGCCTGGCTTCAGCGGTGCTCTCCAAATATAACTTCATATGGATGAAAAAATGAACCAATCAAATGAACAAAATGATATCTATTTTTCCACTTGCTTGGGAAAAGATAGTTTTTAAGGTCCTGGATGCATCTGAGCACAAAGATAAGGCATTTATTATTTTGTACAATCACTCTCTGTACTGTTTAGTCTGATTTAACATCTGGTCACAGTAGTAAGTCCACAGGCGACCGAACACCTGCTGTGATTTTAAAGACAAGAGTTCCCAGACTTCTCCCCTCTCTGGAAAAATACTCCTCTTTTTTCGGCCTCACACAGAATCTTTTGATGCACATGCAAATAAAACTTGGATTGAGCTTCATCCAGAAAGGATGTGGGGATGTGAATAATGTATAGTATGCATGATCAGAGAATATAATCCCCTTGTGTTTCTTTTTTTATTTCCCCTCTGTTCCTCATCCCAACCTCACCCCTTGAAAAAATCTCTCCTGTTCTTAAATCCATCTTTTGTCTTCTTCGCCCACATTTCTGCCTCTCATTCTCGTTCTCTCTCAAGTTGTTACAGGCTTTCGTGCAGAAACCCCAGACGAGAGTGCCAGGACGGATTTTACTACAGCAGCCAGGTCTGTCAGTGCATCCCCAAGTACATGAAGTGGAATTACCAAACAAGAAAGTGAGGAAGAGGGGGGTTTGTCCCGCTCAGATCGGAAACTCTTTCCCACCCGAGTGACTCCACGCACAGGAGCGGGAAGTGGATCTAAGTGTAGAGACATGCAGCGTTTGCGGGAGGTTTGAGTCACTTTTCTAGTGAACCGTCTCAAACTTCCCGAGAACAAAGGGGAAAGGTTAAAAAAAAATGTTTTATCCAACTAAAAAGGTAACAAGGACAGATATTTGATTCCTTCCACATCTGGAAAGCCCCTCGAGTTCGACTGTAGACGCAGAGCAACAAGGTGGGATGGACCAGACCGAGCAACGTGTTGCAGCAAGAAGAATGCCAACCACCAACCTGCTGAGGAGCTGCAGCTCATGCCTGTGTGAAATGGAATGTGAATAAGATAATAACAGACCCGACTGCATGCTTTTTTCTCCTTCCTTTTCTCTCTTTTTTTTTTTTCCTAAATAAATGTGGGAAAGAAAAATCTTAAGGCAAATTTCCATATTGGCTGGAAGGAAAATCTCGTAGAGCGGATCTCTGAAGTGTACACACCCTCTGTTCTAACGCCAGGTCCAATCAGACCAATGTGAATCATTTCCAAGATGTGGGATACGGACAGATTCGAAACGGAGTCGAAAACGTAAAGAAATGTTAAATGCACACACTTTAAAAAAAAAAAAAAAAAAAAAAAAAGCAAATTTTTACTCTTGTAATTTTTCTAGTTTCAATTTTGGGTCTCATTTTAGTGAGAAAAACAAAAGTTTGTCTCTTTTTATTCACTTTATGTAAACATCTGATTTCAACTGTACACGTTTTAAAATGATTCAACTTTTGATATGTTTGTCATCCAATGTAGCTCATTTTAACTCGGGTATGTACACTTTTTTTTTTTTTTGATTCATTGCATTCAGACAGTTCTGGGTCTGCTTCTAATTTATCTGTTCCAGCTCCGAGTAATTTTATTTTTATATATTTAAACTTTTTATATTTAAAGAGAGAGAGAAAAGAAACTAGTGAAATTTTGAAGATGGATTTGTGAGTAGCTGTACATAACTGTATTTAAATCACGATAATAACTAGAGAGCAATTATATTATTGTAAAGCAAAGCGAGCCGCATTGTTTTTGCAACAAGTTTTCTTTGGAAACATTCGGAATGATGACTGCTGCTTATTCATCTGATTCAGCGAAATATAGTGTTAGTCATTTAATTCTCGGTTTCGATGCGTAATGTCGGGTGGAAGAGCCGGGATTGTAATCGGTGGCGGTTCTTGAGTGGAAGGCATCGACCAATCAAAATGTATGAAATATTCTGCGATTCTGGGAGGGGATCAAATGCGGTCGAGTTCCTATTCTCATTACTCTCAGCAGGAAAAAAATAAATAAAAGCACTGGTTTTTGATCAAGACGCAAAAATTGTGCATTTCTTCTGTGGTTCTTTTTGGAGCCCCCCCTCCTGTAATGCCACCCTGGGAAACTGCCCATATCCAAAAGTGCCACTGGTTGTAGTTCAAGTGCTCTGGGGCTGTAAAAGAATCCATCATTACTTAAGGAAGTGCTGATTAAAGGCTCTGTCTGACTGAGCTGTGTCATCTGATTTGTCTCATTTTACACCCCTAGTCGCCTTCGTGAATTTAGAAAAGCCTTTTAATTCAGCTTTTTCCACGTACCTAAATTCTAAGGTTTTCATTCTCTGTGTGAAATGAATCCAAGTTTAGCATTTTCCACGGAATAAAAAAAAAAGCACCTGCTGCGACAATCGACTGCTTCAAATCTGTCGGGGAGCCTGCTTGTTTGCTTTTAAACGATGTGAGGAATCTTTCATTTTGGGTTGAGCAGGAGTAAAGTATGTGAAACCCTCCACTTGAAAAACTCCAAATCCTCTCTGAACAGCCAATCAGATAATTTAAGACAACAAGGTCGAGGTCAAAGTTCACGCACACATTCTTGAGGCAGAGGCTACGGACAGTCTTCCTGTAGATAAGGGCCGTCATCAGCTGCAGAATCTAATCTCCATCTCTCCGTCGACATCGGCTACAACCACAGACCGTTTTTCCAGTGAAAGACACGCCAGCCCACATCATCACACCGCCTCCACCACAGAACTTTGTTTTTAGATTATTAGACCATTTAAGAGGAAATGGGCTTTATGAAACATGCCTACTCAGTGGCTGTTCACTGGATCACCTGCGGGAAGCAACCTCATTTCTAATTTAGACTCAAGTTTCTTCCTCGTCTAAAGTCTTAGGTTGTCATGTTGGCGAAGAATACGAAACGTAATGGGAAAGAAGGGTTGTTCAGTTTCATTTTGGCCCGTTTATCTGGCGCTCCCCCTCATCTGAAACCTAACGAAATAATAACGTATCTAAAATATTAGATTTCTCACATTTTTATGCATGTCTGCACAGGACCTAGAAAATGAATGAAATCCTGTAAGGCAATTTGAAATGTTTTAATTTCCCACCTCCCCCCTCAAGAACAAAATATAAACCTGGCTCCAGCATTTATATAATAAGCCATTGAAACTCTTCATATATTTACAAAAGATATACATTTATATACCTACAAAAGATAGCAAATAAATAAAACCTGTCGCTGCTCATGAAAAGACACACGCGGGCCTCACAGTGACACTCTGATGACGCGATCCTGAAGGAGAAACACCGCTGAAAGTCGCCACCGCGGTCAATCGAAACGTGACGAAAAGGAAGAAAAGCTGGAAAGAAAACTCATGTAAATGTGAGTCATGATCGTCATTTAAAACAAAAATAATCACGATAAATTAGGAGGTCACTGGCACATTTTCTGGTTCATAATTATTGTTAACTTACACACAGCTTTGCTATGAGCTATTAAAAAAAAATGGAGCCGTTTCTCGAGTAAACACAGTGGTAAATAAAAAGTGAGCAGCTTTAGCGTGTCGGAAAGCATTCAGGTGCCAATAAAGCAATGTGTATCCTTAAATCTTCTCTGAACAGGAAAGACGGGGAGTTCCCTTGATGACTAGATCAAGGTTAGGGCACACCGCCCTCTACTGGTTGGTTACCGCAAGGACAAGCAGTGTAGAGCTGAACGAGCGCCGTACGGATCTTTTTCTCAATAGGAAATAGAATTAGTATTTAAACAAGAGTTATATATTTAAAAAAAAAAAACTCTTACTGAAGACTCACACAGCTACCTTACGACTCTGTAGTTTAGACTCAGTCTAAATTAGGACCCAAGATGATAAAATAAAATTTTCAATTTCAAACCTCAAATGAGTTGATTCTTATGAATCAACAGTGCAAAAAAAAAAAAAAGACCAATGTCACCGTATGGCTTACTAATGGAAACATTTGTAGCCTTGTTTTTATGCGTTGTTTTGTGTGGTTTAGTCTCCATAAGGGGCGACGCAACACGGCGGTTCCAGAGGAGGCACTTCACAAGTTTCTTTAGGCCTTTATGTTCGCTCCACTGAAGCGTCCAACGTTTGTTCCTGTTAAGGGCTGCGTCTGCGTCTCGGGAGCGCCGACTTGCCGAGGGACGATCACGGTCCTCTGGTTCCTTGCACTTTTTGGTGCTAGCTTGGCTCGCATCCAAAAGCTTTGTTGTCCTTGTAGCACTGGCTCAGCCGTTACCTGAAACCACCGAAGAACAAAAATAACGTCAATTTCATACATTTATACAAGTTTTGCTTGCGAAAACTTGCTGAAAAAATATCTGATTTTATCTTTAGGCCATGTCACATTTTTGCAGAGCAAACAATCCAGAAGGAATATTTCTTTTACCCCAAAGAGTGGAGATAAAAAAAAAAAAGACTGGAGACCTTAGCTTCTGTGGTGGAGCTAAGATGACTTCTAATGTGCGTACAAATGCATATCAAGGAACATTTGGAGTTCAAATTATTAAAATATCCAGTAATGACAGAGTTTTCAGAATGTGTCTTGAATATTCAGAGCCCTAACCCCTTCCAACACCGCGGGGGAAAACCACAGACGACTGAACTCACCCTCATCGTCAGAGTCGAACCCAAACAAGTTTGAGCACTTCTGCTGCTGGCTGTGACTCTGCAGCTCCTCGGCGCAGCTGAAAGTGGAGAAGCAGTTGGCGCAGCGGTGCCTCTGCAGAGCCGCTTTCAGGCAGGGCGACTCGAGGACGACGCTGGACTGGAAGAACGGCGACTCCTTCCTCCGCTTCGGCATGGCGGTGTACTTTTCATCCAGGTACGCTGTGGGCGGCAGGCGCAGGTAAGGCTTCTTGCCGTACGCCGCGAGGGTTTTCTTACACGGCATGGAAGCGGCTCCCTCGCTCCACTCTTTGTCTTCGATCGTTAGAGAGCAGCTAGCAGAATTAACGTCAGACGGAGAAGGTTGTGTTGGAGGATTTCCTTTGGCAGCTGCTGACTGATTGCCCTCTTTACATTTTTTCTTGGCAAGCTTTCGTGTCTTGTCTTTATTAATCTCTTTACGCCTCTTGGTTGCTTTACTGGTTTCAGACTTATCTGCGACTTTTGATTTCTTTCGTTTTTCCTTTTTATTAATGCTCTGCTCGTTTGCCTCGGGGACGTTGGATGGACAAGCAATCAAAATGTCAGTAGGAATTGATGGAGGAGATGCATCTAGAGCTGGATTTTCAGGTGCTTCCTTCCTTTTTTCTTTCTCAACAAGCGTGCTTTTGATTAACTTTTTCAGCCCCTTTAATATCCCCTCTGCTCCTTTAGCTTTCACCTGTTTATCCTGCTCTCTGGCCTCCACTGGGGATTTGGGGAGATTTTGTAAGGTTTGGTTTTTGCCTTTCTGATTGAGCCTTTTCTTCAACATTTCACCTTTCTTCTGTGGCTTTTCAGAGCTCAAAGCAGCAGCGTTGGTGCTTTCTTCTTTCCTAACCCCTGACATCTTCTCAGCGCCTTCTGCTGGGGCGGAGCTACTGGACTCCTCCTGAAGTGAATCTTGGTTATTCACCTCCTCATCCACAGAAACTTCAACCACTGCTTTGACTTTAACAGGTTCGGACTCTGTAGACGCTCTCGAAACAGAGTTTAGTTCTTGACGCATCTTGCCAGTCTTTTTAGTCGCTTCAGCTCTTCCAGACTTAGTTTTCTTCAACTTGCTGGAATCTGAAATTGCACAGTGATTCTTGACCTTTCGAAGTTTCTTTCTGCCATCCGCTGACTTCTGTCTGGTGAGGCCCGACTGTTTTGAACTGGTGGACTGAAATTTACTGCTGGACATTTGGTTAGTTTTAATCTGCTTCATCTCTGAATCATTCGATGTCATTTCTGTCGTCATGTCCTCTTGATCGAGTTCACTGTTCTCTTTCGCGTCTTGAGCGAGTATTTTCTGACCGGCGGCAGTTTTGCTCAACCTCGGAGGACATCTTCTTTTCCTAAGACCTCGAGTGGCTATTCTGGCATTCTTCAACTTTAACCTCTTCCTATTCTTCACTTTAGCTTTGTGTTTCAGCAAAGATGATGAGACGACATTATGACTTTTGTGAGCTTGGTTTGTCATGTGGCCTTTACTTAATGTTTGCCTCAACCTACGATTTATGGACATGGGTTGAGGTGAGGTGTCTTTTTCAGAATCAATGCTTTTGTTTCTAACTCTAAGCTTGTGTTGTTGAGCTGCTGTGCTGACAGTAAGAGGAACGTTGATGCGATTTCCTAAAGAGTCGTTTGTTTGTTCTTTTAACTTAAGGGAAGTGAACCTGACTGGGTCGTCTGAGCTTTGACTTTTCTTTCCATCGGGTGTTTTAGACAACCTTTCGCCTCGTTGTGCATTTGCATACGAGTCTGGCTCAGCTGACTTGGAAGCATAGTGCTCTCTTTCGTGAAGATTCAGTGCCCAGAGACAAATGAAAAGCTGGGAGCATCCGGGGCGACAGCACATGGCCTGCAGCGGACTGTGCTTTCT